ATGCATGAGAGGAGTGTCCTTAATCCCCCCATAATCCCTTCCCCTTCTCCCTGTCCATCCACTTTTTCTAATCTTCACACAGGTAAACCCTATGGCATCGTTGAGCAACGATAACTTCTCTCCTTAACTCTTCTTTGAGGGCCCGGGGGACTCCCATATAAAAGTGACGGGAATGTTCCTCGATCGATCGTCGTCTCGGCGCTTTGAGGTGTAAATTGCAGTTTTTGGTCTCACTTAGGGTGTTCAGGATGTAAAGTCACTATATCTGCCCATTCAGGTATCGCTTAGTACTGTGCGTAAAGAAATTTACAAAACATGCCCTGACACTGACCACACAGAAATCTCCCTTAGGGCCGGGGTTAGTGTAAGCTTGAGCCACACCGACATTGGTCAGGGATAAGGGTAGCCTGAATTCAGACGATTACTTCGAGTCGTTTTTAAGGGTTTAATTTGAATTCTCCGACGAACATCTCCGCCACTTTTATATGGGAGCGCCCCCGGATTTTAGGGTGTCCATTTAGTTCTTGGAGGGTCTAATCGGTTATCGTTTACCATGTGCTTTGGGCGTCCAATGGGTTGGTAATCAAAACAGACGAGATGTAATGAATTTAAAGAATGATGTGTGATTTTGTGCAGGACCCCTCCAAGGTTCCATCATGGCTGAGTGTTCATCGCAGTTGGTTTAGTTCTAGACTTCGTTATCGCAGATCCAAAGGTACAAGCTTAATTCCCGGATAACTATCAACTACTATCAGGTTTATAAAGAAAGTTTTTTCATTCCAAAATAAGAATTAACACTTTCGAGTTTAAATAGGGTGTTGCAAAGGAATAAAACGTAGCGAATTGACATTGAAATGCACTTAAACAACTCAAAGAAAAACACGGTGACCTTCTTCCATCAGATAAAATGCTCAAATAGGAACATCACTTCCTTAACAATGGAACGCTACTGGTCACAACTTGTCCTAAATAAGAAATTTGCGACTCTGTCTGAGCAAAATTGCCGTCACATATTGATCTTGCTTTGCCTTCTTTTATTATCATCAGATGCTGGTAGAAATTCACGCTAGAGTTCCATTCCCTTCATTTAGAGTGAGGAGCGCGGTCGCTGGCGGCAAAAATTCCCTCTCAGGAAGGCTGAGCCATTGGAAAGCCCTCCCGTCGGACGAAAATGTACATTCTGACTTGTATTTTGTTTCTGCAGAAAGCCCCAGTATGGGAGAGTAACAGGAGCAGAGTTCAGTAAATACTCACACAGCTGATGGAATATCAATCAGGTTCCCACGGGTGACAAGGATAAGAGATGATAAGAACCGGCGGAAAACTGGTAATAATTTGCCCCATCTTAGGGTGAGCTAAACAAGGTTAATTCCCCGAAGTATTCTGGATAATTTTCCACACATTGGCCCTTTAAGATCTTTTAAGGCATGAACTAGGTCGGTAATGTGTCTAATATCACTGTTGGACGGTTTGCGGAGGGGGGTGGCGATGGTGAATTTTCACCCGGTTTCCTGCCCAACCATGCAACAGGGCGATCGGTCCCCAAAACTGTCCCAGAGTTCAATTGGTTTCTGTACCGTCCCACGCTCCTCACGCGTGAAGTCAAATTGACCAAATTAGGACACTACAGGTGTTTTCAGGGAGCGCGTACTAGAATTTCGTCTGTTTAATAGTGTTACACTCATTATAACTCTTTGAGACGACCGTTGGACCGGTTATTACTGTTACCCGAGAAAAGCGTCCGCCTTGTAGAAAGTGAGGAGAGGGGACATCTTCAGATGCCCATTTTAATGAGCTGTTAGTTTGCTTTCACAATCACACACAGGCAGCTACATTACTTAGTGCGGCTCACTTGTTCGAAAAATGCGCCTGCGCTGTACGCCATGTGTCACCTCATAAAGTAGCTCGCAGCGTGGGAAATCAGATTCTGAGCTGTATTAAAAAGAACTGGATTCGAACTCTTGCTGAGCTATGTCATTACGCTTTTTTTCTTTTTTCATTCAATTATTGTTACATTTTCCGCAGGTTTTATGCAAGAACTCAAAAGCATCTAACAGCGAGTGGCTTTTTCTATACATGACCAGTTAAGTAAAGAAAAGAAACTTACCTAAATGTGAACCTTTGTGGAACCGCTTTGTTCGAAGAGATCGGCAAATTTTGTGTACCGTATTACGTATGTGTTAGTACACAGGCAACGGAAACGAAAACAAAGTTTGGAGCACACTGGTTTTTTTTTGAGTGCGTGAATGTTGGCCAGAAAACTGTCGGCAGCAGCTAAGAGCAACGTTTCATCAGACATCGAGGAGTTATTGGGTTGACCTTGTCTACTCTTCCTTCTCATGTTTCCTCTTTAATTGTGAGTTTGGACCAGTTTGGAACTTATAGAGCTACACAATTAACAGGTTAAGCCGGCAGTTTTTTTTTTACCGTATTTTCCAGCCAACGAAATGACATTAACTTTTGACACTAATTTAGACTGTTAGACAAACATTACTTAGCTACAAAGGAAATGAACAAGTAGTTACAGCCTATTTCAAATCAAACACTTCGAAAGGTAAGGACACTATATTATTATATGCGACCATTATTTTTTGTTGAAGATACTGCAGGAGATGTGAAAGACGATACCACATGACTACAATGATGATGATGAGAATAGAAGTAATGATGATGATATTGATGACTTTGACGAGGACAATGACTCTAAATCAGAGGTGAACCACAGGAAGAAAGTAAATGATGAGCCACAGAAAGAAAAGCGTTGAACACTGCTGAAGAAGGATCGCCTAAGAAGAAGGTTTGCTCTGAATTCATTTACATTCCTACAATTTCAAGTCTGGCCTGGCAAAAAGTTCAATGAAAATGGTCTCATGTATTTGACAAGCTGACCGAATTGGAATATTTCAAATCCTTTTGCTATTTTCCTCTCGAAAGACCTTGAAGATCAAATGATTTATTATTGCGTATCACTATCCTTTGAAATACCTTTTTGTCTAATTTAATAAAAATTGAGCTGGGAAAACGTGAATCGCTTTAGACGACAGCGTACGGAATCTCACGTTTCTGTGTTTCCTACCAAAATAGGATTCACAATGTTTTGAATCCGCACTCAGCTTGAATTCAGCGGATTTATTCCAAATTAGAATCAGCCTCGCATTGTGAATCAGTGTTTCTTTAGAGAGGTATTTGACGAGAAAAATTCGCGCTTGAAACTTGGCCAGCGCAATGCAAAATGTACCATGTTTCTGTACCAAACCATGGTACAGCTACCACGGTAAATTCGTCTTCGGTTTGCCGTTTCTGATGGTGACCAGTTTTCATCCACCATTTACCTTGAATGTGAATTCAGTACTGCAAAGAAACGCAGTATAACCACCGCTTTTGCAATTTTTCCCGCGCTTTTTATCTGCTGCGCTACACTATCATAAGCTTTGATCTATAAAACAGGACAATTTTTTAACATTACTGGATTTTAGTTATGACAGAGATTCGGCGAGAGATTTGAAAAGACCAGTACAACATATATTGTAAGCAACAATAGGGTAAGCAGATGAAAACTAATTTGCGCACTTTTACTTTTTGTGTTAAAATACAAGGCTGCGAAGAGCCGAGATCTTATTTACAAATTTTTGTTGGCCTTTATTAGACCGGTCTAGAAACGAGAAGACAAATTGCAAAAAATGAAATAAGACTAAAAAGAAAGAAAGAAAAACGGAAAAACGAAAAAAAAATAAATTACAAGGAAGGTAGAGGGAAGAAACCCAAAATACAAGCGTGTTTAAACTCACAAGAAATTAGAAAAATTAATAAAGTAAAAAAAACAAACAAACAAAACAAACAAAAACAAGTAAAAAAAAAGTTATACGTTTAACAATGAAAGCACGCTGATCAAAACGTGCACGACCAGTCTGTTTTAGTCTCCGATGCAGCCGGCCCTACACGCACTTAATTAACCTGAGATCAGGCCCAATTTGAGCGGTTCTCATACATTCTCTCTAACGGGAAACGAAAATAGAGCTTGATCTCAGGTTAGCACTTGATAAAAACAAATGAGAATAAAACATCTCAATTTTTGACTCGTACCATAATAGTACTAATTTAAATTTTTAAAAAAGATTATTCGAAAGAGAGCACTTTACGGAGGTGTCCGTAAAAAATGACAACTACGGACAATTCAGATGCTGATTGTTGCACTTTAGTTTCGCTTCAAAAACATCTTGTTTTCTCGCTTCGATGATCACAATAATTTTGTCTACACAAGACTGCACTTGGCATTTTACCTCGGTCTTTGGATTGAAATTGTTTTTTGGTTGAATTGTTCGACTTCCTTTTGTTTTTCCAGTTCTTTGTCTTTCAAAGATTTTATCACGGAGCTGATCTTTTTTTTTGCGTGCTTCGGTAGTTTCTTAATTGAAAAGGCATCTTAACATGACCTTCAAGGTACCTGCACGCTGAATTATACTCTATAAGTTAACACACCTTGGTCTTAAGGAAAAACAGTCCCTGTTATACTTCACTGCACCTTCAACCCCTCTGTGGTTGGAAGTCTAAGCTTGCATGGCCCAAAGGCCCACAGAAACTAAAGATTTTAATGGTAAAAATTTTCTGCAACTGCCATTTTTTCTGGAGTATTTTGTTAGACAGTATATATCAGAGATGACTTGGCCGAAGGTTGATTAATTAATGTACCTAAAGCTCCTTCATTCCTATTTTCGACTTTCTTGACCACCTCGCGCGAAAAAAGCTTGCCGGCAATTTATCCATGCTTCAAAGAGCTGATTAACAATTCTCGGAAATACATTTGATGATTTTTATTCTTCGGTCAAACCACCAAAACATGTCAAGAAACTCTATTTGATTGGTTAATAATAGAATGTTTAGTCTGGGTCACAAAACAAGACTTCATTGTTCATTTGCAAAGCCATTCTCTTGAAGCTTCTTGATCGCCAACAACTAGAGGCCAAAATTTTAAAAAAGTAACCGTGCTTCCGACCTTTTCCATGGATATAAAGACCTTGCTTGACAATCTTCATGATGAAGTATCCTGTTCCGTGTGTATGTGTACATTCACTGATCCAAAGCAGTTGCCTTGTTTGCACAGTTTCTGTCTTCACTGCTTACACGAAATTCAACGAACAAGCGGCGTCCATGGCAAAATTACATGCCCCGAGTGCAGAAGACAGTTTCAGATTTCTGGAAGTGGAACTCCCAGCGAACTTCCCACCAATTTTCGAATAAACAGCTTGCTAGATGTCTTAGCAATAAAAGAGTGTAATACAGCTAAAGTGAAGTGTGGAAACTGCTATAAAAGGAGCGCCCAGACTTCGTATTGCTTCCAGTGTTGTTCCTTCTGGTGCGAGAAATGCATTTTAGGACATGACATAATGCGTGCTAACAATGAACACAGAACGCTAGCACTAAAAGATTTTCAAGATCAAGACATCAAGGCTGTATTAGAGCGACCAGCATTTTGTCAGAAGAAACACCATGAAAAAGAAGAGCTGAAATTCTTCTGCAAGGACTGTAAAGTCGCCATTTGTAGCACTTGTGCTGTAACACTTCATGAAGGTCATGGTAAGATGCCCTTGCAAGAAGCTACTGATGAGCGCAAAACACAGATTAGCTCAATAATAGTATCTTTAAAAGACAAAGTACTGGAAAAACAAAAGGAAGTCGAACAATTCAACCAAAAAAGTATCGCATTTCAATCGAAAGTAGCCGAGGTAAAAAGCCAAGTGCAATCTTGTGTAGACCAAATCATTGTAATCATCGAAGAGAGAAAACAAGATGTTTTTGATGCAGTCGATAAGCAAGCGACAAAATCACTGGAAAGTCTCTTACAGAAAAAAGACGAAGTGGAAAAACAAGTGAAATTAATTGAATCAGCAATTGAACAAACTGAAACTCTGTTAAAACGAGGTTTTAGCACTGAAATCAAGGGATTCAGTGAAACATTTGATTCAATCCTGAAGGAACAGGGCACCAAAGAAAACGGCGACACTGAATGTATTCCTCGGTTTAGTTTCACTAAAAGTGAAAAACTGATTAACCTGTTGAGCATGAGCGAGGGGATAGGTAAAGTAGAGTTTGTTTTTAGCGAAGCTAAAGCGCAACAATCAAAAACTAAAGGTAAAGAAAGTAATAAAGTAGATGCTGGGGATAAAGGGGCAAATTTCTGTGAAAGTCCTTTTAAGGCTCAGGTAGAAACCAGGCGCTTCAGATCTGTGCTGTCATTTGGACAAAAAGGTGAGTCTGTTGGAATGCTTAACGTTCCCTATGGGGTGGCAGTGAATGATCAGGATGAAATTGCTGTGACTGAGCTCGGTAATAACAGGGTTTCAGTGTTTAGTAGTGACGGTACCCACTTAAGATCCTTTGGTAGGAAGGGTAAGAATAATGGTGAGTTCCAGTTCCCTACAGGGACTGCTTTTGATAGTCATGGCAATATTGTAGTGGCAGACTGTTATAACCACAGGGTGCAAGTCTTTGATCGGAATGGCAACTTTCTTAGTATGTTTGGTAAACAAGAAAGTCGTGATAATCAGCTCGAATCCCCTCAAGGTTTATCAATAAACGGCAACGGTGATATTACTGTTGCTGATAAAGGTAACAAATTAATCAAGATATTCTCTTCTAGTGGGGAGTATTTACGTAAATTTGGTAGAGCAGGTTCTTTGGTCTCTCCCATTCACTGTATTCAACATGGTCAATATTTTATAGTCTCAGATCGTGGTGATCATACCATTAAAATGTATAATCTGGAGGGAAAGTTTATTACTAAATTTGGAAATCAGGGAATCAAAGATGGAGAATTTAATGAGCCCCGTTACTTGTCAGTTAACAAAGAAGGATTGCTTATGGCCTGTGATGAAAAGAATCACAGAGTTCAGGTATTTGATCTGAGTGGAAGGTTTGTTACAAAGTTTGGAAGTGAAGGTAGCGAGAGAGGAGAGTTTAAGTGTCCAGTGTCTACAACATATCTTAGTGATGGAAGGATAGTTGCGTGTGATAAGGAGAACAACCGAATCCAGGTTTTTGACCAGTTATAATATGACCTTTCCAGTGATATTATAGTTGAAACTTTCAAATTGGCTTCTTTATCTAGAAAAAGAAACCGTAACTTTCCGAACAACATCCTGAATTCGTGAGGCATTTGTCCTTGTTGCCGGGTGGGGGCATTAGGTTGTCCTCACGCGTAGTTTGTCTTTTCTCTGAATGTAGCAATAAATTATAAAATCGTGGCTGTAATAATAGCTGAAGTGACATTCAAATTGTAAATATATTTTGTAATCCTTTTTCAAATATATCGTATAGTCTCATTCAATTGCCGATCAGGGGTAGTTTAATAAGGTTGTTCAATTGTTTGGTATCAAAATTGTTTTGTACGTTGTACACCTTTCATTTTCTTTCCAGCAGTTGCTAGTTGTTAGCGAGTGTATTTTTGGAAGTATTATTCCCGCGCCCTCAGCTCAAGTACCATTTTTTTTTCTCATCAGGATCTTCAGGTCCGTTAAATTATAACATATATATTTACAGAATTGTATACCGTTTTGTTGAAAATGCATTAAAGGATAATCAAATGTGAAGAATGTTTTCTTCCTTTAAATTTATCGTTGTTTATGAGACCGTCATGTGTTGACGTTAAACGCACCAGTACCTCATTTAAGCGTAAGATAATGTATTTAGCACGCTTGTACTAACTGAGGACACTATTTTTACGTCTCTTCTCGGAGAATGGACCATCGCTGCTATGTCCAGCGATCATCCGAGCCGCGTATAGGTCTACTAAGCAGTTTGTAGGACTGCAAGGCAACAGTACAATCAAACCCCTCTTTAATCAAAAAACCGAAAAATCATCTTTTGCCGATTTTTTCACCTGATTTTACATTAAATGGCCAGATTTGGTTGGTTTACGATGAAAAGTGGATTTTTGCCAAATTGCTTGGTACTTTTGCTTGGTGACAACCGCCTAATTAATATAGACACCTCATTTTTTGCCCCTGGGGGAAAAAAAGCCCTTGCACAGTTTTGTCTTAATTCAACCCCCTTAATACGGACACCAATCTTTTTTCAAGAAGACTATCGGCAGCCACTGTTTGGACCTGCAAAAGGAAAACCGTTTGCTTTCTACATAGTTTGCATTTCGACCGAAAGGATTTCTAGATAAAACAGGGCATTGCTGGTCACGTGATGCATTTATAAACAAATGAACTTTGAAGATTTCTTAGTTATGATTAGCCTTAATTTATTAGACCTGGGATACGGTAAAATTCCGAAAATAAGCCCCGGGGCTTATATTTTTCAAAGGCCCTTTTTGAAGGGCTTATTTTTGGAAGGGCTCGTCTACGGAGGGAAATATGCGTTTCAAAATCGATTGGGCTAGCCTTATAGTTGGAAGTAAATTTACCATTTTCCTTTGTTTTCTTTGTATTTGAGGGCAATTTTCCTCTGAGTACAAACCCCGGGGGCTTATATTTGATGGGGCGATTTAACGGAGGGTTTTTTGCGTCACCGGATTGGGGGTCTTATATTTAGAGGGGCTTATACATGGAGGGGCTTATTTTCGGAATTTTACAGTATCTTAAAAAAAAGTTACATTTGACCACCCCCCTTCAAAATTCTGAGGAATTTGTAAAGAACCAAGCCTTAATCAGAGCCGTCAGGTGCTTTGAGATTGGTCAAAATTTGCGAAATGATGTACTCGTGGACATGTGCTCTATCCTCGCCGATATTGGTAATTACCATCTTAATAGCTGGAATTGAAAGCCTAAGGGGTCCAGGGAGAATAATATGCATGGGTCCATATGGACCCAAAACGACCAAAGCGGACGACAAAGAGTTTTATTAGACAATAGACCACTCTTTCTATGGGCTGACCGGCGTGATAATCCCTTCGGCTCGTGAGTGTTCTCCCAACAACCCGAGTGGGTTATCACGCCGGTAAACCCATAGAAAGGGTGGTCCATTGCTTTTATAAAATAACTTTAAGTTTTCTATGAGTTTACCAGCACAATAAACCATAGGTTTTTAACCAATCAGAACGCGCGTACTATCTTAGTTATTCTATAAAGGTAGATATCTGTTAAATGTACTATAAACACTTCAGTCCAGGGCATGTACTACAAGCTGTACGCAAGTGTAACCTGCGTAGCAAGTGCATGAAGGGGAGAGGAGAGAAAGAACATGGGAGCAGATAAGGTTATCTCCCCTCCCCTCTCCTCTTGTCCTTATGTTATCTTATCTGTTTAGCAATATAGGGTTCCTCATTGCAGGGGTCTCCTTAATCCCCTCTATAATCCCCTCTCCTTCCCTTCTCCTCTTGTCCTTATGTCATCTTAGCTGTTCAGCAATATAGAGTTCTTGATTGCAGGAGTCTCCTTAATCCCCTCTATCATCCCCTCCCCTCCCCTCTCCTCTCCTCTCCTCCCCTCTCCTCTCCTCTTGTCCTTATCTTATCTTATCTGTTTAGCAATAAAGGGTTCCTCATTCAGGAGTCTTTTTAATCCCCTCCCCTTTTCCCTTCCCGTCCCCTTTTTATGTTCTCCACACAGGTTTGCCCTATGGTATCCTTGAGCAATGGTTACTTGTCAGGTTATCGTTTCGATTCACCTTAACTCTTCCATGTCTAGTTCTCTATTCTTTTTTAAGGTATTCATATAGGTCATATAGAGGGTCTAATCGGTCGTCGCTTACAATACCTTGGGCCTTTGTCGTCCAATAGTTAGAGACGAGCTGTAATGAATTTTTAAAATTATTATTTATAAATGATGAGCGATTTTGTGTAGGACTCCTCTAAGGTTTCATCATGGCTGAGTGTTCATCGCAGTGTAGTTCCTGACTTCGTTGTTACAGATCCAAAGGTACAAGCTTAATTACTGGATAATTATCAACTACTATGAGTTTTACAAACAACGTTTTTTCACTCTAAAATGAGGAATTTTATAACAATTCCGATTGAATAGGTTGTCGTAGTGGAACTGAAGAGGCTACCGTAGCAAATTTACTTTGAAATGCACATAACTACTCGAAAAAAACACGTACTTCCATCAGAAGAAAAGCTTAAGTAGGAACATCAGTTCCTTAACAATGGAACGTCACTGGCCACAACTAGTCCTAAATAAGAAATTTGCGACTATGTCGGAGAGAAAATTGCCGTCACATATTGATCTTGGTCTTATTTTATTATGATAAGTTCGCGCGAGAGTTCCATTGTCTTTACCGCGAGTAGCGAGGTCGCTAGCCTCAAAAATTCCCTTGCAAGACGGCTTAGTTATTGGAAAGCCCTCTCGTCCGACGGAAAAGTACATTCTGACTTATATTTCTGTTTCTGTAGAAAGCGAAGGAGATAACAGGAGCAGAGTTTAGTACATCAACCACTCACACAAGTGATGGCAACCTTGCAAGCCTCTTGCGATAGCCCATAAAAGCGGTGTTCTCTCCAAAACTGTCCCATTGTTCAATTCCTTTTTTGACCGTCCCAGGCTCCTCGCGCGTGAAGTCCAAATGACAAAACCAGGTCACTGCAGGTGTTTTCTGGGAGCGCGTACTAGAATTCGCTCCGTTCAATAGTGTTACACTCAACTCTTTGAGACGATCGTTGGAACCGTTTATAACTGTTACTCTACAGAGGCGTCTGCCTTTTAGAGAGTAATGCTAGAAGACCAATTTATATTTCCAGAGTTTTAATGAGCTGTTAGTTTGCTTTCACAATCACAAACAGGCAGCTACACACTTAGCGCGGCTCGCTTGTTCGAAAATGCGCCTACCCTTATTGTAGGCCATGTGTCACCTGATAAAGTAGCTCGCTGCTGGTCCCTTGCGCTTCGTCACCAGTCACTCACGTTTCGCCCTCGCCTCTATGAGAAACCGTGGGAAAAACGAAGTGCCTGGGGAGGAGGCTGAGCTCACCGTGAATCAAATTCCGAGCTGTATTAAAAAAAACTGGATTCGAACTCTTGCTGAGCTTTGTCATTACCCTTCTTCTCTTTTTTCATTTAATTAATGTTACTCTTTTTCCGCATGCTTTATTCAAAAATCGACGAGTATCTAAAAGTGAGTTGGCTTTTTCTATACTAAAATGACAAATGAAGTAAAGAAAAGAAACTTTCGTGCTGGTGAACCTTTCTGGAACAGCTTTTATCAAAGAGATCGCCAAATTTGGTGTATAGTATTACGTATGTGTTAGTACACATGCAACGGAAACAAAAATAAAGTTTTGAGCGTTTCATCAGACATCGAAGAGTTATTGGGTTACTCTTCCTTCTCAAGTTTCCTCTTTCTGAGTTCGGATCAGTTTGGAACTTAGAGTTACCCAATTTAGAGGTTAAATAGGCAGTTTTTTTACCGTATTTTCCAGCCTACGAAATGACATCAAATTTATACACCATTTTAGACAAACCCGGCAACACAATAAATACACAGGTAAGCTTTAGCCTATTTCAAATCAAACACTTCGAAAGGTAAAGACACTATGCTACCATTATTTTTTGTTAAAGATAGTGCAGGAGATGTAGCCTGTGAGCAGGCTCTCTGTTTGGGGGAAAAAAAATCGCGAGGAGAGGGAAGAGAAAAAGGGAAAGAGGCCTTTTCGCTTTTCCCTCTCCCCAGTTCCCCGCTCGACTAAAGGCCTGTTCACAGACTACAGGAGATGTGATTTGATTAGATGTGCTTCAACCCCTCTGTGACTGGAAGTCTAAGCTTGGCCAAAAGGCCCACAGAAGCTTAAGAATTAGTAAAAATTTTCTGCAACTACCTTTGTTTGTTTCTGAAGGATTTTGTTGCGCAGTATCAAGGAGACTTGACCGAAGGTTGATTAATGTATTTGCTGAAAACACTCAGATTAACGAGCACTATTTTGGGCAAAATTCGATGGAAAATAAATCCGTCCTCCATCCTGTAAAAAAAAAAAAGACGGGGTAATGGTGCGTTTTGTCTTTCGTGTGGCTTTTTTGCTTCTGATTTTCGGCCAACGAGGACTTTCTTTCCCAGTTAATATCTGTCCAAGAATTAAACGCGTGTGTAACGCTCTGAGTGTTCTGGTGTTCACAAATATTCAAAACATTTCAGTTGTCCATTCTTTTATAGCCTGCGTAGCAATTTTTCCGAACGAATTTTAGGGAGAGAAAGCTCTTTCAAAGAGCTGATTAACAATTCTCGGAAATACAGGATGTTATTTATTCTTCCGTCACACCATCAAGACATGTCAGGAAACTCTATCCAAGGATTGTAGGCGTGTGTTCATGTGTTCAGTGTGCCTTCGTGTAGGGGAGGGTGCGGCTTCACGTAGGCTATAGTTGAATGTACACAAATACTAAAAAATTTCAATAGTCAATGCTTTAGCCTCCTAAGCAAATTTGTCCGAACGATTCAGGGAGAGAAAGATTCTTCATTACTCTTTTTTGCCCTCGCTTCTACATACTTTCTTGGCGACGACCTCGCGCGGAAACCCTTGACAGCAGGTTCAATACCTATACTACAAAGCTGATTAACAATTCTCGGAAATACAGGATGTTTCTCCTGCGTCAAAATATCAAAACATGTTAAGAAACTCTATTTGATTGGTTAATATTACAGAGCCGGTTTAGTCTGGGTCACAAGACAAGACATCATTGTTCATTAGCAAAGCCATTCCCTTGTTCGTCAACAACTAGGCCAAACTTTTTGAAAAGTAACCTTGTTTCCCATCTTGTCTATGGATATCAAGACCTTGCTGGCCAATCTTCATGATGACGTATCCTGCTCTGTGTGCATGTGTGCATTCACTGATCCAAAGCAGTTGCCTTGTTTGCAAAGTTTCTGTCTTCATTGCCTGAACGGAATTCAACGAACGAGCGGCGTCCATGGAAAAATTACGTGTCCCGAGTGTAGGAGACAGTTTCAGATTTCTGGAAGTGGAAATCCCAGCAAACTTCCCACTACAGTTACAGAGCACCTCCAAGTCTTAAATCGCACCCCCAATTCAGGTTGGTCAAAGACCATTAAGAAAAAGAGTTTACCGAGGCTGATGGAATACTTCAACCATTAAAATTATAGATTCACCTCGCCAAACGAAAATATGATCGCTGATAATTGCTCCTTTGACCGAACATTATAAAAGTTTGAAAAAAGGAATTTGACTTAGTTTTATACCGCCGTGTGAATCTTATCCCTCTTGAGATTTTCAATAACAACTGTCTACTTAAACGGAGAAAAAAAAAACACTTTTAAAATCTTGTCCCCGCCATATATGTCAATAAAGACGAGGCCCACCCGAATAGCCTAAAAACAAATGAGAATAAAACTGTCTTAATTCTTGTCTCGTACTATAATAATACTAATTTTAATTTGTAAAAAAAATTCATTTAAAAGAGAGCACTCTCCCGAAGTGTTTGTAAAAAATGACAACTGACAATTCAAAACGAAACCCAGTTCTTTGTCTTTTAAGCGAACTCTAGCAGATACCAGTCCGATTAGAGCTTCTAAACTGACAATAAAAAGATACCACCGTTTTACGTTGTAAAGTTACTTTTTTTTTACTTTTATACTTCATTGCTTTTTTTAACCGCTCTGTGGCCCAAAGGCCAACAGAAACTTAAGATTTAGTAAAAGCTTTCTACAACTGCCATTTGTTCTGGAGGTTTTTGTTGCACAGTATCAGGGATGACTTAGCCGAAGGTTGATTTTAATCAAAAATGAAAATGTATTTGCTGGAAACACAAACATTAACGATCACCTCTTTATTGGACAAAATAGACGCAAAATTTATTCGTAAAAGTATGGGGTAATGACGCGTTTTGGCTTTCGCGTGGCTTTTTTGCTCCTTGGGGAATTGTCAGAAATTAGGAGGGGGGTGGGAATTTTAAATTTGGGTTCGGAAATGAGGTGGTACATTCCTGCAGTGGAAGTGAAATTTGCTAACCCTCCCCTTGAGCTTGGCCTAATGATATCATGACCCTCCCCCTGTTATATAAATGACAAAATCTAGTTCTCGCAGTACACTAGGGTGAGTCAGTATTATGAAAACTCAAAATATATTTCTAATCTGTTCTTTGTAATGCTATATACATACATTTTAGATCACAGCAATTAAGAGTCCGACTCTGATTCTGACAGCTGATCACTCGACTCTCCTATTTCTCCCACGTTTTTTTACCAAATAAAGAACTTCCTTTTTCTTCTGTGGGTGAACCTCTATATTATCACGGCCATATATTTGCATGACCCTCCCCCTTTTAACGGCCCATTTTTTATGCCCCCTCCCTTTTCTGAGTCTCAAAAAGCTGTGCCCCTCCTTCTGTTGCCACCTCCCCCCCCACCCCCCTGCTCATTTCTGACAAGTCCCTTATTTTGAGCCAGCGTCGGGAGTTGCCTTCCCAATTTAATCTCTTCAAGGACTGTACGCGTGTGTGACGTGTTGAGTGTACACAAATATTCAACAAAATTTCACTAGTCCATGCTTTAACAAGTCTAGCAAACTTTTCCGAACGAATTAGGGAGAGAAAGCCCCTTCATTCCTCATTTTTTTCTCTCCCCAACTTTCGCGCGGAATCTCCTGCCGACAAGTTACCCATGCTTCAAAGAGCTGATTAACAATTCTCAGAAATACAGGATGTTGATGCTCTTTTATTCTGCCATCAAAACACGCCAAGAAACTCTATTTGATTGGCTAATAATACACGAGTTTAGTCTCGGTCACAAGACAAGAATTCATTGTTCATTAGCAAAGTCATTCCCTTGATCAACCAAAGTTTTTGAAAAGTAACCTTGTTTCCGACCTTTTCCATGGATATAAAGACCTTGCTGGACAATCTTCATGATGAAGTATCCTGTTCTGTGTGTATGTGTACATTCACTGATCCAAAGCAGTTGCCTTGTTTGCACAGTTTCTGTCTTCACTGCCTGAACGGAATTCAACGAACGAGCGGCGTCCATGGTAAAATTACATGCCCCGAGTGCCGGAGACAGTTTCAGATTTCTGGAAGTGGAAATCCCAGCGAACTTCCCACTAATTTTCGAATAAACAGCCTGCTAGATGTCTTGGCAATAAAAGAGTGTAGTACAGCCAACGTGAAGTGTGCAAACTGCGATAAAAGGAGTTCTCAGACCTCGTATTGCTTCCAGTGTTGTTCCTTCTGGTGCGAGAAATGCATTTTAGGACATGACATAATGCGTGCTAACAACGAACACAAAACGTTAGCACTAAAAGATTTTCAAGATCAAGACATCAAGGCTGTATTAGAGCGACCAGCATTTTGTCAGAAGAAACACCATGAAAAAGAAGAGATGAAGTTCTTTTGCAAGGGCTGTAAAGTCGCCATTTGCAACACTTGTGCGGTAACGCTTCATGAAGGTCATGGTAAGATGCCCTTGCAAGAAGCTACTGATGAGCGCAAAAAACAGATCAACTCCATAATTCGATCTTTGAAAGACAAAGTACGGGAAAAACAAAAGGAAGTCGAACAATTCAACCAAAAAAGCATCGCATTTCAATCGAAAGTAACCGAGGTAAAAAGCCAAGTGCAGTCTTGTGTAGACCAAATTATTGCAATCATCGAAGCGAGAAAACAAGATGTTTTTGATGCAGTCGATAATCAAGCGAAAAAATCACTGGAATCTCTCTCACAGAAAAAAGACGAAGTGGAAAAACAATTAAAAATAATTGAATCCGCAATTGAACAAACTGAAACTCTGTTGAAACGAAGCTTTAGCACTGAAATCCTGGGATTCAATGAAACATTTGATACAATCCTACAGGAACAGAGCACCCAAGAAAACCGTGACACTGAATGTATTCCTCGGTTTAGTTTCACTAAAAGTGAAAAACTGATTAACCTGTTGAGTATGAGCGAGGGGATAGGTAAAGTAGAATTTGTTTTTAGCGAACCTAAAGCGCAACAATCAGGAACTAAAGGTAAAGAAAGTAGTAAAGTAATTGCTGGGAATAAAGGGGCAAATGTTCGTGACAGTCCTTTTGAGGCTCAGGTACAAACCAGGCGCTTCAGATCTGTGCTGTCATTTGGACAAAAAGGTGAGTCTGTTGGAATGCTTCACCTTCCCTGGGGGGTGGCAGTGAATGATCATGATGAAATTGCTGTGACTGAGTACTGGAACCACAGGGTTTCAGTGTTTAGTAGTGATGGTACCCACTTAAGATCCTTTGGTAGGAAGGGTCAGAATAATGGTGCGTTCCAGTTCCCTACAGGGATCGCTTTTGATAGTCATGGTAATATTGTAGTGGCAGACTGTTTGAACCACAGGGTGCAAGTCTTTGATAGTAATGGTAACTTTCTTAGTAAGTTTGGTAAACAAGGAAGTCGTGATAATCAGCTTCAATTCCCTCACGGTTTATCAATAAACGGTAACGGTGATATTATTGTTGCTGATACCGATAACAAATTAATCAAGATATTCTCTTCTAGTGGGGAGTATTTACGTAAATTTGGTGGAGCAGGTTCATTGGTCACTCCCTATCACTGTATCCAACACGGTCAATATTTTATAGTCTCAGATGGTGGTGATCATTCCATTAAAATGTTTAATCTTGAGGGAACGTTTATTTCTAAATCTGGAAAACCGGGGAACAAGGATGGAGAGTTCAATAAGCCCCGTTACTTGTCAGTTAACAAAGAAGGATTGCTAATGGTCTGTGAAGCAGAAAATCACAGAGTTCAGGTATTTGAACTGAGTGGAAAGTTTGTTACAAAGTTTGGAAGTGAAGGTAGTGAGAGAGGAGAGTTAAAGTTTCCATATTCTACAGCAAATCTTAGTGATGGAAGGATAGTTGTATGTGATAGGGACAACAACCGAATCCAGGTTTTTGAAAAGATATAAAAATGACCTTACCAGTGGTATTATTGTTGAAAAGTTTAAATTGGTTATCAATAATAATAAGAAACCTTAATTTTTCGAACAACCCCAACTCGTGAGGTATTTGTCACAGTTGACCTTTTCCAGTTACAGGGGGGCATTAGGTTGCCCTCGTTTTGTGAATGTAACAAAAAAAATATAAAATCGTGGCTGTAATAATAGCTGAAATGACATTCAACTTGTAAATATGTTTTGTAACCTTTTTTCATATGTATTATAGTCTCATTTAATAGCCGATTGTCGTTTAATAAGGTTGTTCAATTTTTTGGCATCAAAATTGGTATTATGTTGTACACCTTTTCATTTTCTTTCGAGCAGTTGCTAGTTGGTAGCTAGTATACTTTTTGAAAATATTATTCCCTGACCCTCATAGCTCAAGTAACATTTTGTTCTCAAAGGTTCTTCAGGTCCCTTGACATATATTAACATATATTTACCGAACTGTATAACGATTTACTGAAAATGCATTAAAGGATAATCAAATATAAAGAATGGGTTCTTTTGTTTAAATTAACGGATTCAAAGAGACCGTCATGTGTTGAAGTTAAACGTACCAGTTTATTTCATTCAAGTGTAAATGTATTTAGCACGCGAGTCCTAATGGAGGACACTATTTCTACGTCTCTTCTCGGAGAATGGACCACACTTTCTATGTCCAGTGATCGTCTGAGTCACGTATAGGTCAACTGAGCAGTTTGCAGGACCCCTATCAAGGGACACCCGCTTAATACAGACACCTCATTTTTGTCCCTGGGAAAAAAAAGCCCTTAAATTTTCTCTTAATTCAACCCCCTTCAATGATACGGACGTTTTCTATGACCCCGCCTCAGTGTGTGTGCGTATTAACGGGGTTTTACTGTATCTTGTTCCGTAGTTATTTTATTTTAAGACCAACGACAAAAAATCTCTATTTTCTGGTAATTTACCAAACGGTTAATTTACATGTATTAAAAATGCCACGTTCACGATCCGTGTTCTCATTTCGGAATTCTTACACAGCACGAAAAGTGAAATTCACCAAACTTTACTAGCCTGCGTGCCGACGATAACTAAACGCTGATTAGTACCGTCTGCGAAGCAGCGCTGAGATCCTTGTTCTGGACCCCCAACGGACTCAACGAATTACCGGAAGTGCGTTTCGAATTCCCCTTCAACCTGATTGGCGATCACGACAAACAAAACAAAGGCCTTTTTTAACTGGCCAATCGTAGCGCGTACTCAAATCTGGGTACACAGCTGGAAGTCCAGAACAAGGATTTCGGCGCTGTTTCGCAGACGGAGTTAACCAGAGTTTAATTTCGTCTGCGCGCAGGCTAAACTTTACCTGATTCCATATTTCTTGCCGTGACCCTCAGTATTCGTCCGGTCCCGTGACTTCCCGCTCCTGCCATCAACTCAACTGTTCTCTCCTCTCCTCTCCTCTTGCATGTCCTTATCTTATCTTACCCTAAGTCTTCTGTTAAGTCCCCCCTCTCTAATAAGCCCTCTCCCTCTAGTAAGCTCAATCTTTTCAGGGGAAGAAAGTTAATAATCTTGCCCCCTAGCTCTCTATTAAGCCCACCCTTCCCTCCCCTAATTATTTTTTACCGATAAATCATAGGCTGTATTAATCAATCAAGACGGAAAAGATTTGTGTGGGTTGATCCGGGGTGGTTTACTTACCAACTGGAAGTTCGGATTTAATTCTGATCCTCGGCTGCATGACCTTTAACCTTCTTGTTCTTGAGCTTCTCCACTTAGTATTCTAGTTCTTTATGAAGAACTGATGCCATCGTCGTTTCTAAATTAAATAAGCCTCCTGTCTCTATTAAGCCAACCCCTCAAGTAGGCTTCAACTAAATAAGCCCCCCGGGGGGCTTATTTCTGTTTAGCATTATAGGGTTCCTCATTGCAGGAATCTCCTTAATCCCTTCTATAATCCCCCCTCCTTCTCCCTACCCGTCCTCTTTTAATGTTCTCCACCTAGGTTAACCCCATGGTATCCAAGAGCAACGAGAACTTCTCTCCTTAACTCTAGATCTTCCACATCAACTCTTCTTTGAGGGCCCGGGGGGACTCCCATATAAAAGTGACAGGGATTCTCCTCGATCAATCGTCGTCTCGCTTTGGGTGTAAATTGCAGATTTTGGTCTCAGTTAAGGTGTTTGGGATGTAAAGTCACTATATTTGCCCATTCAGGAATCGCTTAATTATTTACAAAAAAATGTTCTGACACTAACCACACAGAAATCTCTCTTAGGGCGGGAGTTAGTTTGAGCTTGAACCACTCCGACATTGGTCAGGGATAAGGGGAGCCTGAATTTCAGACGATTACTTCCAGTCGTTTTCAAGGGTTTATTCTACGACGAATGATCCTCGTCACTTTTATATGGGAGTGCCCCCGGGTTTGAGGTATCCATTTAGTTCTTGGAGGGTCTAATTGGTTGTCGTTTACCATAGGCTTTTGGCGTCCATTAGGTTGGAAATCAAAACAGACGAGATGTAATGAAGTAGTGAAGAATGATGTGTTATTTTGTACAGGACCCCTTTAAGGTTCCATCATGGCTGAGTGTTCTTCGCAGTTTAGTTCCTGACTTCGTTATCGCAGATCCAAAGGTACAAGCTTAATTACCGGATAATTATCAACTACTATCAGTTTATAAAATAAGTTTCTTCTAAATAGGATGCTGTAGTGGAATAATGCATCAGTCAATTCCACTTGCGCCCAGCCCCCCTCTCCGAGCTACTGCGGAGCATTTTCCCGCCTTGTCAGTCCCGGGGGTGGGGCATTGGCAAATTTTGCACTGCCCGGGGGCCGGGCATTTGCCAACCCCGGGGCCATTCCCGAGGTGGTCTGCAGCTGATGGAAATTCGAGAGAGAGTTCCATTGCCTTGAGCGCGAGTAGCGCGGTCGCTGGCCGCAAAAGTTCCCTCGCGGGAAGGCGGAGTCCATTGGAACGCTCTCCTGTCCTACGAAAAAGTACATTCTGTCTTGTATTTCGTTTTTCTGCAGAAAGCCCTAGTATGGGAGATAACAGGAGCAGAGTTCAGTAAATCAACAACTCACACAGCTGATGAAATATCAGTCAGGTTCCCACGGGTGACAAGGATCAGATATGATAAGGACTGGGAAACTGCCAATGATTTGCCCCATCTTAGGGTAAGCTATACAGGGTTAATTCCAGGAGGTATTCAGAAAAACTGTCCATATATTAGCCATTTTAAGATCTTTTAAGGCATGAACTGGGTCGGTACTGTGTCTAATATCACTGTGGGACGGTTTGAGGGGGGGTGGTGTCGAATTTTCACCCTCTTTCCCTGCCGGCAACCTTGCAATCGCTAATAAGAGCGATTGTGTCCCTTAAAACTGTCCCAGAGTTCAATTCGTTTTTGTGCCGTCCCAGGCTCACACGTGAAGTCAAAATGACTAAATAAGGTCACTGCAGGTGTTTTCTGCCGCAGCGCATACTAGAATTCGCTCTGCTTAATAGTGTTAAACTTAACACTTTAAGACCACTGTTGGAAATGTTTATAACTGTTGCCCGGGAGAGGCGTCCGCCTTGTAGAAAGTAGTGGTAGGAAACAACTTTAGATGTCCATTTGAATGAGCTGTTAGTTTACTTTCACAATCACACACAGGCGGCTACACACTTAACGCCGCTCGCTTGTTCGAAAAATGCGCCCGCCTGCGCTTTAGGCCATGAATCAGATTCCGAGCTGCATTAAAAACAACTGGATTCGAACTCTTGCTCAGCGTTGTCATTACGCTTTTACTCTTTTTTCATTCAATTACTGTTGCATTTTTCGCAGGTTTTATTCAAGAACTCAAAAGCATCTAACAGTAAGTAGCTTTTTCTATATATGATAAAGAAAAGAAACTTCATTTTGTACTGCGGAACGTTTTTGGAACAGCTTTGTTCGAAGAGATCGCCATATTTGGTGTACAGTATTACGTATGTGTTAGTACACATTGAACGGAAACGAAAACAAAGTTTTGAGCACATTGCTTTTTTTCTGTGCGTTAATGTTGGCCAGAAAACTGTCGGCAGCAGCTAAGAGCATCGCTTCATCAGACATCGAGGAGTTATTGGGTGGACCTTGTCTACTAATCTTCCTTCTCATGTTTACTCTTTGTGAGTTTGGACCTGTTTGGAACTTAGAGCTACCCAATTTAGAGGTTAAGCCGGCAGTTTTTTTACCGTATTTTCCAGCCTACGAAATGACAGTAAATTTTGACTCCAATTTAGACAAACGCCACCTAGCTACACAGGAAAATAGACAAGTAGTTACAGCCTATTTCAAATCAAACACTTCGAAAGGTAAAGACACTATGCGACCATTTTTTTTTGTTGAAGATACTGCAGGAGATGTGAAAGACGATGACGCTGACAATGATGATGGCGAGGATGATGAGAATAGAAGTAATGTTGATGATATTGATGACTTTGACGAGGACAATGACTCTAAATCAGAGGTTAACCACAAGAAGAAAGTAAATGATGAGCCACAGAAAGAAAAAAGAAAAAGAAAAGCGTTGGACACTGCTGAGGAAGAATCGCCTAAAAAGAAGGTTTGTTTTTATTTTCAGTCCTTCAAATACCTGTCTGGCCTGGCAAAAAGTTAAATGAAAGTGGTCCCATATATTTGACAAGCTGACCGAGTTGGAAGAATCGTGAAAAAGTTTCTGATAACACGAAAGTACTTTATCAATGAAGTTTTTGCGGCTGTAGGCGTCCTGTTAGCTTAAGCTCCCTAATAGAGTCTTGTCATTGGCTTATATTCGTTGTTCTTTTCTCAGTCAAAGCCTGCTTGTAAATATGGATCAAAATGCTATCAACAGAGCGGGGACCACCGACAGAAATTCAGCCATCCTAAAGTAAGTAAATGAGGTGTGTGAAACGCACTGCCTTTTGCGCCGAGCTGATTTTTTTTACAACAGAAAAAAGCTGCAAATTAATCAATGTAACAATTCGTATCAAACCTGAAAACTGAACGAAAAAGAAAGAAAGAAAGAAGCACACACACAACTTTTCAAGCAAATGCTATAGTGAGGTTTCTTTTGCAAGCTGTAAGAAAATTTAGTTTTCCTAACAATAAAAAGTTTAGTTGGAAATCAAACTAGCAAATGTGCTTTCGTACATCAGTATAGAGAGGTTTTATGACCGGGGCAAAAGCACAGAATCTCTGTTTTTTTTTATTTTTCGCTTTTTTGTAATTTCGCAGGAAAATGAAGTTGTTGGCAGTCCAAGCAAAGGGCAGGTAAGTAAGGCTCGTAATTATTGGAAACATTTATAATTTTTGAGTCAGTGTTTGAATTATTTTCAAAACTATTAACTCTGGAAAATTGTTATTCTTTTCGTTTGTTTTAGTAATGTGTATTATAATCTACAGTTTCTGTTATGTAAAGAATTTACTTTGACGTCCTTTTCATTTTTTACAGCGCTTGAAAGACATCTTTCATGGACTGACACTTTTCCTCTCGAAAGACCTTGAAGATCACGCGAAACTCAAAAGATATATTATTGCGTATCCTTTGAAATACCTTTTGGTCTACTTTAATAAAAATTGAGCTAGGAAACTCGTATGTCGCTTTAGTCGACAGCGTACGGAACAACACGTTTCTGTGTTTCGTATCCAAAATAGGATTTGTAATGTTTTGAATCCGCACTCGGCTTGAATTCAGCGGATTTAATCCAAATAGAATCGGCCTCGCAAAGTGAAGCAGTGTTTCTTTAGGGAGATATTTGAAGAGAGGAATTTCCGCTTGAAATATGGCCAGCGGAATGCAAAATGCCCTACCAACCCCTGGTACAGGCTGTAAATCCGTCTTTGGTTTTTGTCGTCTTTAACCGTGACCAGTTTTCATCCATCATTTACCTTGAATCTGAATTCAGAATTTTTGCAAAGAAACGCAGCTTAATCACCGCTATTGCAATGTTTCCTGCGCTTTTTATCTGCTGTGCTTTGATCATCAAGATAAGCTTTGATCTATAAAACTGGACAATCCGGTTTTTAACCATTCTTAACATGACTTGATAGTTATGACGGAGATTTGGCGGAGGAATTTGAAAAGTCCAGTGCAACACATATTGTAAGCAACAACAGGGTAAGAAGATGAAAAATATTTTGCGCACGTTTACTTTTTGTCATGTCATTAGTGTGGTAAACTTCACTGCGAATGCGAACAGTTTCTTATTTATAAATTCTTGTAGGCCTGTATTGGACCGGACTAGAAACGGGAAGACAAATCGCAAAAATAAAAATGAGACAAAGAAAGAAGAAAGACGGAAGAAGACAAATTTGCAAAGGATAAAGAGGGAAGAAACTCAAAATGCAAGCGTGTATTATGGAAAACATGAAAGCGGGGAATAGACTCTGTACAATCCCCCACCTCCCTCTCCACCCCTCTTCCCATTTTCTTTCTCTTCGACATTGGAAGCAACGCTTTGGAGGTGATAAGCTAAAATAGTTTATTAGCGATGTAACCAATGCCCGCTGTTCTTATCGTGTCTGCTCTTTCTTTTTTAGGATGGACGAAAGGAGCAAGGATCGACCAAGGTTGTGTCGCCATCATGGATTTGGAAGTGTATTAAGAAGGGCCGTCTCGTACCAGTTAATAAATTTCTTGTATAAATTTACAGCACTCGACCACTTTGACGGTTTTCAATTCCTTCCAGGATCAACTGCTTGGATAATTACAGAACACCTGGAAGTCTTTAATCGCGCCTCCAAGTGAGATTGGTCACAGACCATTAAGAAAAAGAGTTTACCGAGGCTGATGGAATACTTCAACCATTAAAATGAATGTTACGTAATTATAGATTTACCTCGCCGAACGAAAATATGATCGCTGATAATTGCTCCCTTGACCGAACATTATAAAAGTTTGAAAAAAGGAATTTCACTTAGTTTTATACCGCCGTGTGAATCTCATCCCTCTTGATATTTTCAATAACAACTGTCTACTTAAACGAAGAAAAGATATGTCAATAAAAGACGAGGCCCGCCCGAATAGCCTAAAAACAAATGAGAATAAAACTGTCTTAATTCTTGACTCGTACTATAATAATACTAATTTAAATTTGTGAAAAAATAAATTCATTTGAAAGAGAGCACTTTACCGAAGTGTCCGTAAAAAATAACAGGTGACAATTCAGAAGGAAATCCAGTTCTGTCTTTTAAGCGAACTCTAGCAGATACCAATCCGATTACAGCTTCTAAACTGACAATAAAGAGATACCACCGTTTTAAAGTTACTTTATATTTTGACTTTTATACTTCATTGCTTTTTTAACCGCTCTGAGGCCAACAGAAACTTAAGATTTAGTAACAACTTTCTACAACTGCCATTTGTTCTGGAGGGTTTTGTTACACAGTATCAGAGATGACTTAGCCGAAGGTTGATTTTAATCAAAAATGGAAATGTATTTGCTGGAAACACACAGATTAACGACCTCTATATTGGACAAAGTAGACGCAAAATTTATTCGTAAAAGTATGGGTAATGACGCGTTTTGGCTTTCGCGTGCCTTTTTTGCTCCTTGGGGACTTGTCAGAAATTAGGAGGGGGTGGGAATTTTAAATTTGGGTTCGTAAATGAGGTGGTACGTTCCTGCAGTGGAAGTGAAATTTGCTAACCCTCCCCTTGAGCTTGGCTTAAAATATCATGACCCTCCCCCTGTTATATAAATGATAAAATCTAGTTCTTGCAATACACTAGGGTGAGTCAGTATTATGAAAACTCAAAATATATTTCTAATCTGTTCTTTGTAATGCTATATACATCCATTTTAGATGACAGCATTAAGAGTCCGACTCTGATTCTGACAGCTGATCACTCGACTCTCCTCTTTCTCCGACGTTTTTTTACCAAATAAAGAACTTCCTTTTTCTTCTGTGGGTGAACCTCTATATGATCACGGCCATATATTTGCATGACCCTCCCCCTTTAAACGGACCATTTTTTATGACCCCTCCCTTTTCTGCGTCCCAAAAAGTTGAGACCCTCCCTCTGTTTCCACACCCCTCCCCCCTACTCATTTCTGACAAGTCCCTAGCTTATTTTGAGCCAACGGGGAGTTGCTTTCCCAATTTAATCTGTTCAAGGATTGTACGCGTGTGTAACGAGTTGAGTGTACACAAATATTCAAAAAATTTCAGTAGTCCATGCTTTAACATGCCTAGCAAACTTTTCCGAACGAATTAGGGAGAGAAAGCCCCTTCATTCCTCATTTTTTTCTCTCCCCAACTTTCGCGCGGAATCTCCTGCCGACAAGTTACCCATGCTTCAAAGAGCTGATTAACTCTCAGAAATACAGGATGTTGATGCTCTTTTATTCTGCCATCAAAACACGCCAAGAAACTCTATTTGATTGGCTAATAATACACGAGTTTAGTCTCGGTCACAAGACAAGAATTCATTGTTCATTAGCAAAGTCATTCCCTTGATCAGCCAAAGTTTTTGAAAAGTAACCTTGTTTCCGACCTTTTCCATGGATATAAAGACCTTGCTGGACAATCTTCATGATGAAGTATCCTGTTCTGTGTGTATGTGTACATTCACTGATCCAAAGCAGTTGCCTTGTTTGCACAGTTTCTGTCTTCACTGCCTGAACGGAATTCAACGAACGAGCGGCGTCCATGGCAAAATTACATGCCCCGAGTGCAGGAGACAGTTTCAAATCCCTGGAAGTGGAAATCCCAGCGAACTTCCGACTAATTTTCGAATAAACAGCCTGCTAGATGTCTTGGTAATAAAAGAGTGTAGTACAGCGAACGTGAAGTGTGGAAACTGCGATAAAAGGAGTTCTCAGACCTCGTATTGCTTCCAGTGTTGTTCCTTCTGGTGCGAGAAATGCATTTTAGGACATGACATAATGCGTGCTAACAACGAACACAAAACGTTAGCACTAAAAGATTTTCAAGATCAAGACATCAAGGCTGTATTAGAGCGACCAGCATTTTGTCAGAAGAAACACCATGAAAAAGAAGAGTTGAAGTTCTTTTGCAAGGGCTGTAAAGTCGCCATTTGCAACACTTGTGCCGTAACGCTTCATGAAGGTCATGGTAAGATGCCCTTGCAAGAAGCTACTGATGAGCGCAAAAAACAGATCAACTCCATGATTCGATCTTTGAAAGACAAAATACGGGAAAAACAAAAGGAAGTCGATCAATTCAACCAAAAAAGCATCGCATTTCAATCGAAAGTAACCGAGGTAAAAAGCCAAGTGCAGTCTTGTGTAGACCAAATTATTGCAATCATCGAAGCGAGAAAACAAGATGTTTTTGATGCAGTCGATAATCAAGCGGCAAAATCACTGGAATCTCTCTCACAGAAAAAAGACGAAGTGGAAAAACAATTAAAAATAATTGAATCCGCAATTGAACAAACTGAAACTCTGTTGAAACGAAGCTTTAGTACTGAAATCCTTGGATTCAGTGAAACATTTGATACAATCCTACAGGAACACAGCACCCAAGAAAACCGTGACACTGAATATATTCCTCGGTTTAGTTTCACTAAAAGTGAAAAACTGATTAACTTGTTAAGCGTGAGCGAGGGCATAGGTAATGTAGAATTTGTTTTTAGCGAACCTAAAGCGCAACAATCAGGAGCTAAAGGTAAAGAAAGTAGTAAAGCAATTGCTGGGAATAAAGGGGCAAATGTTCATGACAGTCCTCTTGAGACTCAGGTACAAACCAGGCGCTTCAGATCTGTGCTGTCATTTGGACAAAAAGGTGCGGCTGTTGGAATGTTTAACGCGCCCTATGGGGTGGCAGTGAATGATCAGGATGAAATTGCTGTGACTCATACCTGGAACCACAGGGTTTCAGTCTTTAGTAGTGACGGTACTCACTTAAGATCGTTTGGTAGGAAGGGTCAGAATAATGGTGAGTTGCATTGCCCTAAAGGGATCGCTTTTGATAGTCATGGCAATATTGTAGTTGCAGACTCTTTTAACCACAGGGTGCAAGTCTTTGATACGAATGGTAACTTTCTTAGTAAGTTTGGTGAACAAGGAAGTCTTGATAATCAGCTTCAATATCTTGAAGGTTTATCAATAAACGGTAACGGTGATATTATTGTTGCTGATACCGATAACAAATTAATCAAGATATTCTCTTCTAGTGGAGAGTATTTACGTACATTTGGTGGAGCAGGTTCTCCCTATTGCTGTATCCAGTACGGTCAACATTTTATAGTCTCAGATGCTGGTGATCATTCCATTAAAATGTTTAATCTGGAGGGAAAGTTTATTTCTAAATTTGGGAAACAGGGAAACAAGGATGGAGAGTTCAATAAGCCCTGTTGCTTGTCAGTTAACAAAGAAGGATTGTTAATGGTCTGTGATTCAAAAAATCACAGAGTTCAGGTATTTGAACTGAGTGGAAAGTTTGTTACAAAGATTGGAAGTGAAGGTAGTGAGAGAGGAGAGTTCAGGTTTCCAAGGTCTTTAGCAAATCTTAGTGATGGAAGGATCGTTGTGTGTGAAATGAATAACAACCGAATCCAAGTGTTTGACAAGATCTAATATGATCTTACCAGTGGTATAATTATTGTTGAAAAGTTCAAATTGGTTATCAAGAATATGAAACCTTAATTTTTCGAACAACGCAATCTCGTGAGGTATTTGTCACTGAGTCACTGTTGACCTTTTCTATTTGTCGTTGATTGGGGTGGTCGAAGGGGGGGCATTAGGTTGCCCTCAGAAACAGTTTGTCTTTTCAGTGAACGTAGCAATAAATTATAAAATCGTGGCTGTAATAACAGCTGAAATGACACTCAACTTGTAAATATATTTTGTAACGTTGTTTTCAAATGTATTGTAGTCTCATTTAATTGCCGATTGTAGTTTAATAAGGTAGTTCACTTTTTTGGTATCAAATTTGCTTTTTTATGTTGTATACCTTTTCATTTTCTTTCCAGCAGTTGCTAGTTGTTAGCTGGTGTATTTTTGGAAATATTATTCCCGAGCCGTTAGCTCAAGTACCATTTTTTTTCTCAACAGGTTCTTCAGGTCCTTTAGTTATAACATATATTAACCAGATTGTATAATAACGATTTGTTGAAAACGCATTAAAGCGTCATTAAAGGACAATCAAATATAAAGAATGGTTTTTTTTGTTCAAATTTATCGTTGTCAATGAGACCGTCATGTGTTGGAGTTAAACGTACCTGTTCCCTTCATTCAAGTGTAAATGTATTTAGCACCAGAGTACTATATTGAGGACACTATTTTTACCTCCCTATTCGGAGAGTGAATGGACCACCATTTCTATGTCCAATGATCAGCAGCGGAGCCAAGTATTGGTCTTCTGAGAAGTTTACAGGACAAGACAGGACAGTCAAATCCCGCTTAATACAGACACCTCATTGTTTGTCCCCGGTGAAAAAAGCCCTTACATTTTCTCTTGATTCAACCCCCTTAATAAGGACACTTTCTATGCCCCCCTCAGTGTCTGTAGTAATGGGGTTTGACTGTACCCTCCTCCTTAGTTATTTTAGGACCCTCAGTATTGGTCCGGCCTCCTGCACCTCACCATCCTACAGTCAAACGCTCTACAGGGTGAGCTTATCTTTTCGTTTTAAGGTAGAAACCGACCATAGACGCTTCAGTTCAGTGCGTGTACTACACGCTGAACCCAAGTGTAACCTGCGTAGCAAGCGCATGAAGGGGAGGGGAGAGGTAGGACATGGGAGCAGATCTCCTCTCCTCTCCTCTCCTCTTCTCTCCTCTCCACTTCTCTTGACCTTATCTTATTTACCATAAATCCTCTATTAAGTCCTCCCTCTTAAATACCCCCCCTTTTTGAGGATGAAAGTTAAGAGCCCCCCCCCCCTCTCATTTAAGTCTCCCCTCCCCCTTATTATTCTTCACTAATAAATGATAGACTGTATTAATCAATCATGACTGTTTACACACTGTCCAACCATCCCGATCTCGTCGGGCTTCTCCCGATTTTGTTTGAAAATCCCGAATCCCGACCAATATGCGATGGAATAAGAACAATCACGATTTTGAAATCTGTTTTGATAAATACACAGGAGCACCCAACAGAGTGTACTTAATTGAAACTGATACCCAAAAAACTTAAATATACAACCTAGAATATAAAACAAAATCGAGTACTTGTATGTAAAAACACGCAAATGAAAAAAGGGAAAAAAACAATCAATTTAGCGAAAGAAATCGCCCGCTAAGAACACAAGAATAGCGTTTCAGAGCATTAAAATTTGAAAATTTTCTGGGGTAGCATGCTTCCAGACCCCGCTAACGACTCGCACCCTCGACGCTCACGTGATGTGATTCGTATATTATTTAAAAAATATCCCGATTTTACATACTCAAACGGTTGGACAGTCTGAGTTCAGCTGTGAGTTTAACTTCTTTTTATTACCAACTGGAAGTTGGCTGCATGACCTCCAACCTTCTTGTTCTTGAGCTGCTCTACTTTGTATTCTAGTTCTTTATGGAGAACTGATACCATCGTCTTTTCTAAATTAAATAAGCCCCCCTCTCAAATAAGCCCCCTGTCACTGTTAATCCATCCCCTCAAATAGGCTTTTAATAAATAAGCCTCTCCCCCGGGGGGCTTAATAGTTTAGCAAAATAGGGTTCCTCATAAGAGGAGTCTCCTTAATCCCCCCCACAATCCCTTCCCCTTCTCCCTGTCCATCCACTTTTTCTAATCTTCACACAGGTAAACCCTATGGCATCGTTGAGCAACGATACCTTCTCTCCTTAACTCTTCTTTGAGGGCCCGGGGGACTCCCATATAAAAGTGACGGGAATGTTCCTCGATCGATCGTCGTCTCGGCGCTTTGAGGTGTAAATTGCAGTTTTTGGTCTCACATAGGGTGTTCAGGATGTAAAGTCACTATATCTGCCCATTCAGGTATCGCTTAGTACTGTGCGTAAAGAAATTTACAAAACATGCCCTGACACTGACCACACAGAAATCTCCCTTAGGGCCGGGGTTAGTGTAAGCTTGAGCCACACCGACATTGGTCAGGGATAAGGGTAGCCTGAATTCAGACGATTACTTCGAGTCGTTTTTAAGGGTTTAATTTGAATTCTCCGACGAACATCTCCGCCACTTTTATATGGGAGCGCCCCCGGATTTTAGGGTGTCCATTTAGTTCTTGGAGGGTCTAATCGGTTATCGTTTACCATGGGCTTTGGGCGTCCAATAGGTTGGTAATCAAAACAGACGAGATGTAATGAATTTAAAGAATGATGTGTGATTTTGTGCAGGACCCCTCCAAGGTTCCATCATGGCTGAGTGTTCATCGCAGTTGGTTTAGTTCTAGACTTCGTTATCGCAGATCCAAAGGTACAAGCTTAATTACCGGATAACTATCAACTACTATCAGGTTTATAAAGAAAGTTTTTTCATTCCAAAATAAGAATTAACACTTTCGAGTTTAAATAGGGTGTTGCAAAGGAATACAACGTAGCGAATTGACATTGAAATGCACTTAAACAACTCAAAGAAAAACACGGTGACCTTCTTCCATCAGATAAAATGCTCAAATAGGAACATCACTTCCTTAACAATGGAACGCTACTGGTCACAACTTGTCCTAAATAAGAAATTTGCGACTCTGTCTGAGCAAAATTGCCGTCACATATTGATCTTGCTTTGCCTTCTTTTATTATCATCAGAAGCTGGTAGAAATTCGCGCTAGAGTTCCATTCCCTTCATTGAGAGCGAGGAGCGCGGTCGCTGGCGCCAAAAATTCCCTCTCAGGAAGGCTGAGCCATTGGAAAGCCCTCCCGTCGGACGAAAATGTACATTCTCACTTGTATTTTGTTTCTGCAGAAAGCCCAGTATGGGAGAGTAACAGGAGCAGAGTTCAGTAAATACTCACACAACTGATGGAATATCAATCAGGTTCCCACGGGTGACAAGGATAAGAGATGATAAGAACTGGCGGAAAACTGCTAATAATTTGCCCCATCTTAGGGTGAGCTAAACAAGGTTAATTCCCCGAAGTATCCTGGATAATTTTCCACACATTGGCCCTTTAAGATCTTTTAAGGCATGAACTAGGTCGGTACTGTGTCTAATATCACTGTTGGACGGTTTGCGGAGGGGGGTGGGGATGGTGAATTTTCACCCGGTTTCCTGCGCAACCATGCAACAGGGCGATCGGTCCCCAAAACTGTCCCAGAGTTTAATTGGTTTCTGTACCGTCCCACACTCCTCACGCGTGAAGTCAAATTGACCAAATTAGGACACTACAGGTGTTTTCAGGGAGCGCGTACTAGAATTTCGTCTGTTTAATAGTGTTACACTCATTATAACTCTTTGAGACGACCGTTGGACCGGTTATTACTGTTACCCCAGAAAAGCGTCCGCCTTGTAGAAAGTGAGGAGGGGACATCTTCAGATGTCCATTTTAATGAGCTGTTAGTTTGCTTTCACAATCACACACAGGCAGCTACATTACTTAGTGCGGCTCACTTGTTGGAAAAATGCGCCTGCGCTGTACGCCATGTGTCACCTCATAAAGTAGTTCGCCGCGTGCGAAATCAGATTCTGAGCTGTATTAAAAAGAACTGGATTCGAACTCTTGCTGAGCTATGTCATTACCCTTTTTTTCTTTTTTCATTCAATTATTGTTATATTTTCCGCAGGTTTTATTCAAGAACTCAAAAGCATCTAACAGTGAGTGGCTTTTTCTATACATGACCAGTTAAGTAAAGAAAAGAAACTTACCTAAATGTGAACCTTTGTGGAACCGCTTTGTTCAAAGAGATCGGCAAATTGTGTGTACCGTATTACGTATGAGTCAGTACACAGGCAACGGAAACGAAAACAAAGTTTGGAGCGCACTGGTTTTTTTTTTTGAGTGCGTGAATGTTGGCCAGAAAACTGTCGGCACCAGCTAAGAGCAACGTTTCATCAGACATCGAGGAGTTATTGGGTTGACCTTGTCTACTCTTCCTTCTCATGTTTCCTCTTTAATTGTGAGTTTGGACCAGTTTGGAACTTATAGAGCTACACAATTAACAGGTTAAGCCGGCAGTTTTTTTTTTACCGTATTTTCCAGCCAACGAAATGACATTAACTTTTGACACTAATTTAGACTGTTAGACAAACATTACTTAGCTACAAAGGAAATGAACAAGTAGTTACAGCCTATTTCAAATCAAACACTTCGAAAGGTAAGGACACTATATTATTATATGCGACCATTATTTTTTGTTGAAAATACTGCAGGAGATGTGAAAGACGATGACCACATGACTACAATGATGATGATGAGAATAATGATGAGAATAGAAGTAATGATGATGATATTAATGACTTTGACGACGACAATGACTCTAAATCAGAGGTGAACGTACCACAGGAAGAAAGTAAATGATGAGCCACAGAAAGAAAAGCGTTGGACACTGCTGAAGAAGGATCTCCTAAGAAGAAGGTTTGCTCTGAATTCATTTACATTCCTACAATTTCAAGTCTGGCCTGGCAAAAAGTTCAATGGAAATGGTCTCATGTATTTGACAAGCTGACCGAATTGGAATATTTGAAATCCTTTTGCTATTTTTTGGATATTTTTCTACAGCGCTTGAAACACATGGAAATGGACTGACAATTTACTTCTCGAAAGACCTTGAAGATCACGCGAAACTCAAAAGATTTATTATTGCGTATCCTTTGAAATACCTTTTTGTCTAATTTAATAAAAATTGAGCTAGGAAAACGTGTATCGCTTTAGACGACAGGGTACGGAACAACACTTTTCTGTGTTTCCTACCAAAATAGGATTGACAATGTTTTGAATCCGCACTCAGCTTGAATTCAGCGGATTTATTACAAATTGGAATCAGCCTCGCATTGTGAATCAGTGTTTCTTTAGGGAGATATTTGAAGAGAAAACTTCGCGCTTGAAACTTGGCCAGCGGAATGCAAAATGTACCATGTTTCTGTACCAAACCATGGTACAGCTACCACGCTAAATTCGTCGTCGGTTTCCCGTTTCTAATGGTGACCAGTTTTCATCCACTATTCACCTTGAATGTGAATTCAGAACTGCAAACAAACGCAGCATAACCACAACTTTTGCAATTTTTCCCGCGCTTTTTATTTGTTTCGCTAAACTATCATAAGCTTTGATCTATAAAACAGGACAATTTTTTAACCATTCTTAACATGACTGGATAGTTATGACAGAGATTTTTCGAAGGAGTTGAAAAGACCAGTGCAACACATATTGTAAGCAACAATAGGGTAAGAGGATGAAAAATGATTTGCGCACTTTTACTTTTTGTGTTAAAATACAAGGCTGCGAACAGCCGGGTTCTTATTTACAAATTTTTGTAGGCCTTTATTGGACCAGACTAGAAGCGAGAAGACAAATTGCAAAAAAAAAAAGAAATGAGACTAAAAAGAAAGAAAGAAAGAAAAACGGAAAAACAAAAAAAATTACAAAGAAGGTAGAGGGAAGAAACCCAAAATACAAGCGTGTTTAAACTCACAAGAAATTAGAAAAGTTAATAAAGTAAAAAAACAAAACAAAACAAACAAAAACAAGTAAAAGAAAGTTATACGTTAAGCAATGAAAGCACGCTGATCAAAACGTGCACGACCAGTCTGTTTTAGTCTCCGTTGCAGCTGGCCCTTCTGCACGCACTTGATAAAAACAAATAAGAATAAAACATCTTAATTCTTGACTCGTACCATAATAGTACTAATTTAAATTTGTAAAAAAGATTATTCGAAAGAGAGCACTTTACCGAGGTGTCCGTAAAAAATGACAACTAGGGACAATTCAGATGTTGATTGTTGCACTTTAGTTTCGCTAAAAGCAAATTCTACATTACTCATCCCCTGGCTCATGCTCAGAAGGTTAATCAGTTTTTCACTTTTAGTGAAACTAAACCGAAGAATACATTCAGTGTCACGGTTTCCTTGGGTGCCCTGTTCCTGCAGGATTGAATCAAATGTTTCACTGAATCCAAGGATTTCAATACTAAACTTCGTTTCAACAGAGTTTCAGTTTTTCTACTTCGTCTTTTTTCTGTGAGAGAGACTCTAGTGATTTTGTCGCTTGATTACCGACTGCATCAAAAACATCTTGTTTTCTCGCTTCGATGATCACAATAATTTTGTCTACACAAGATTACACTTGGCATTTTACCTCGGTCTTTGGATTGAAATTGCTTTGCTTTTTTTGTTAAATTGTTCGACTTCCTTTTGTTTTTCCAGTACTTTGCATTGTCTTCCAAGATTTTATCACGGAGCTGATCTTTTTTCTTTGCGTGCGTCGGTCGCTTCTTGCAAAGGCATTTTAACATGACCTTCAAGGTACCTGCACGCTGAATTATACTCTATAAGCTAGCACACCTTGGTCTTAAGCAAAAAAAGGCCCCTGTTATACTTCACTGCACCCTTAACCACTCTGTGGTTGGACGTCTCAGCTTGCATGGCCCAAAGGCCCACAGAAACTAAAGATTTAATAGTAAAAATTTTCTGCAACTACCATTTTTTCTGGAGCATTTTGTTGGACAGTATATATCAGGGATGACTTGGCCGAAGGTTGCTTAGTTAATGTAGTTGCTGGAAACACGCAGATTAACGACCACATTCTTGGACAAAATAGACGGAAAATTAATCCGTTCTCTCTCCTGTTAAATAAAGGATGAGGAAATGACGCGTTTTGGCGGGATTTAGGGATAAAGCTCCTTCATTCGTACTTTCGACTTTCTTGACCATCTCGCGCGGAACATATGCTTGCCGGCAATTTATCCATGCTTCAAAGAGCTGATTAACAATTCTCGGAAATACATTTGATGATTTTTATTCTTCAGTCAAACCACCAAAACATGTCAAGAAACTCTATTTGATTGGTTAATAATACAGTGTTTAGTCTGGGTCACAAAACAAGACTTCATTGTTCATTTGCAAAGCCATTCTCTTGAAGTTTCTTGATCGCCAACAACTAGAGGCCAAAATTTTAAAAAAGTACCCCTTGCTTCCGACCTTTTCCATGGACATAAAGACCTTGCTCGACAATCTTCATGATGAAGTATCCTGTTCCGTGTGTATGTGTACATTCACTGATCCAAAGCAGTTGCCTTGTTTGCACAATTTCTGTCTTCACTGCTTGAACGAAATTCAACGAACGAGCGGCGTCCATGGCAAAATTACATGCCCCGAGTGCAGAAGACAGTTTCAGATTTCTGGAAGTGGAAATCCCAGCGAACTTCCCACCAATTTTCGAATAAACAGCCTGCTAGATGTCTTGGCAATAAAAGAGTGTAGTACAGCTAACGTGAAGTGTGGAAACTGCGATAAAAGGAGTTCTCAGACTTCCTATTGCTTCCAGTGTTGTTCTTTCTGGTGCGAGAAATGCATTTTAGGACATGACATAATGCGCGCTAACAATAAACACAGAACGCTAGCACTGAAAGATTTTCAAGATCAAGACATCAAGGCTGTATTAGAGCGACCAGCATTTTGTCAGAAGAAACACCATGAAAAAGAAGAGCTGAAATTCTTTTGCAAAGGCTGTAAAGTCGCCATTTGTAGCTCTTGTGCTGTAACACTTCATGAAGGTCATGGTAAGATGCCTTTGCAAGAAGCTTCTGATGAGCGCAAAACACAGATTAGCTCCATGATAAAATCTTTAAAAGACAAAGTACTGGAAAAACAAAAGGAAGTCGAACAATTCAACCAAAAAAGCATCGCATTTCAATCGAAAGTAGCTGAGGTAAAAAGCCAAGTGCAGTCTTGTGTAGACCAAATTATTGCAATCATCGAAGCGAGAAAACAAGATGTTTTTAATGTGATTGATAATCAAGCGACAAAATCACTGGAATCTCTCTTACAGAAAAAAGGCGAAGTGGAAAAACAAGTGAAATTAATTGAATCAGCGATTGAACAAACTGAAACTCTGTTAAAACGAGGTTTTAGTTCTGAAATCAAGGGATTCACTGAAACATTTGATTCAATCCTGCAGGAACAGAGCACCAAAGAAAACTGTATTCCTTGGTTTAGTTTCACTAAAAGTGAAAAACTGATTAACCTGTTGAGCATGAGCGAGGGGATAGGTAAAGTAGAGTTTGTTTTTAGCGAAACTAAAGTGCAACAATCAGGATCAGTAACTAAAGGTAAAGAAAGTAATGAAGTAGTTGCTGGGGATAAAGGGGCAAATTTTTGTGAAAGTCCTTTTAAGGCTCAGGTAAAAACCAGGCGCTTCAGATCTGTGCTGTCATTTGGACAAAAAGGTGAGTCTGTTGGAATGCTTAACGTTCCCTATGGGGTGGCAGTGAATGATCAGGATGAAATTGCTGTGACTGAGCTCGGTAATAACAGGGTTTCAGTGTTTAGTAGTGACGGTACCCACTTAAGATCCTTTGGTAGGAAGGGTAAGAATAATGGTGAGTTCTATTGCCCTACAGGGATCGCTTTTGATAGTCATGGCAGTATTGTAGTGGCAGACTGTTATAATCACAGGGTGCAAGTCTTTGATAGGAATGGTAACTTTCTTAGTAAGTTTGGTAAACAGGGAAGTCGTGATAATCAGCTTGAATTCCCTCGAGGTTTATCAATAAACGGCAACGGTGATATTATTGTTGCTGATAAAGGTAACAAATTAATCAAGATATTCTCTTCTAGTGGGGAGTATTTACGTAAATTTGGTGGAGCAGGTTCTTTGGTCACTCCCTATCACTGTATTCAACACGGTCAATATTTTATAGTCTCAGATCGTAGTGATCATTCCATTAAAATGTTTAATCTGGAGGGAAGGTTTATTACTAAATTTGGAAAACAGGGAATCAAAGATGGAGAATTCAATGAGCCCCGTTACTTGTCAGTTAACAAAGAAGGATTGCTTATGGTCTGTGATGAAGAGAATCACAGAGTTCAGGTACTTGATCTGAGTGGAAGGTTTGTTACAAAGTTTGGATGTGAAGGTAGCGGGAGAGGAGAGTTTAAGTGGCCAGTGTCTACAGCACCTCTTAGTGATGGAAGGATAGTTGTGTGTGATAAGGAGAACAACCGAATCCAGGTTTTTGACCAGTTATAATATGATCTTTCCAGTGGTATTATTGTTGAAACGTTCAAATTGGCTTCTTTATCTAGAAAAAGAAATCGTAACTTTTCGAACAACGTCCTGAATTCGTGAGGTATTTGTCTCTGTTGCCGGGTGGGGCGCATTAGGTTGTCCTCACGCGTATTTTGTCTTTTCTGTGAATGTAACAATAAATTATAAAATCGTGGCTGTAATAATAACTATAATAATAGCTGAAATGACATTCAACATGTAAATATATTTTGTAATCCTTTTTCAAATATATTGTAGTCTCATTTAATTGCCGATCAGGGGTAGTTTAATAAGGTTGTTAAATTTTTTGGTATCAAAATTGTTTTGTATGTTGTAAACCTTTTCATTTTCTTTCCAGCAGTTGCTAGTTGTTAGCTGGTGTATTTTTGGAAGTATTTTTCCCGCGCCCTCAGCTCAAGTACCATTTTTTTTTCTCATCAGGATCTTCAGGTCCGTTAAATTATAACATGTATATTTACCGAACTGTATAACGTTTTGTTGAAAATGTATTAAAGGATAATCAAATATAAAGAATGCTTTCTTTCTTCAAATTTATCTTTGTTAATGAGACCATCATGTGTTGACTTTAAACGTACCAGTACCTCTTTCAAGTGTAAAACAATGTATTTAGCAGGCTTGTACTAATTGAGAACACTATTTTTACGTCTCTTCTCGGAGAATGGACCATCATTGCTATGTCCAGTGATCATCCGAGCCGCGTAAAGGTCTACTGAGCAGTTTGTAGGACAAGGCAACAGTGCAGTGAAACCCCCTTTAATACATTTTTTCACATGATTTTACATTAAATGGCCAGATTTGGTTAGTTTACGATGAAAAGTGGATTTTTGTCAAATTGCTTGGTACCTTATATTAATTTACAATTTTTGCTTTGTTTTACTTTGTATTTGACGGCAATTTTCCTAGTACAAGCCCCGGGGGGCTTATATTTGGAGAGGGGATTTAACGGAGGGTTTTTTGCGTCACCGGATTGGGGGGCCTATATTTGAAGGGCTTATACAACGGGGGGGGGCTTATTTTCGGTATTTAACGGTATTAAAAAAAAACAGTTACATTTCACCACCCCTCCTCAAAATTCTGAGGAATTTGTAGAGAACCAAACCTTGATCAATTTGAGCCGTCAGGTGCTTTGAGATTGCTCAAAATTTGCGAAATGATGTACACGTGGACATGCGCTCTATCCTCGCCGATATTGCTAATAACCATCTTACTAGCTAGAATTGAAAGTCTAAGGGGTCCAGGGAAAATAATATGCATGGGTCCATATCGACCCAAAACGACCAAAGCGGACGACAAAGAGTTTTAAAAGAGTGGTAAAGGGGGGAGGGGTCTAGATCACGTTTCATGGAAAATAAAACGTTCCTTTCACAATTCACGAAAAATAAAATAGGCATTTCACGCTTCACGGAAAAAAAGGACAACGCTTTTCTTTAAACAGTTCATCAGAGTCGTTGTCGGAGGAGTCGTCATCGTATTCGGAGAGCTGATCGTCTTCTGGGTCCCTCGATGTAGGTGCGCCTTCTCTTCCCTCTTCCTTTGAAAATTCAGGTTCAGTTCTACTCTTTTCGGTGCAAACTCTAGCCGTTCTCCCCGGTGGACAGCAGTCTGATACATGGTCAGAGGAAGAGTA